CTGATATGCAGTCCATACATCCTTGTCCCGTAGCACACGGATGCTTTGTAAATCCTTGTTTTTTCCCCATCTCATCACATCCGGAGAGTATCGGGTAAGGACATTATCCTTGCCTATGTGAAAAACATTAATCAAAGTTTCATCCGACCGTACGTCCACTACATTTCCAACACTTTCTGAGTCGTCCGGTACAGATACCCAGTCCCCTTCTTCCAGTCGTGGCTCTTTGCGCAGGATGCGCACCCAGTCCAGGGGAATTCCGAATATCAACATTTCAAGGTTCTCCTCAATATTATGACAGTATTTTCGTGACTCCCTCAGTTGCTGCACTGTTTCCCAATCCCTCGTCTCTGAGCTCCAAATGTCTTTTATTTGCATAACACTTTTTTTAACCCAACTACACCACGGGGTGACTGAACTACAAAACACCCTACTATATCGATCGGTGATCCTCCTATTGCCAAACAGGGGTTGGCGCATCACTTCGTCCTACCGAGAGGGGGGGGGGTTGTCAGGAAGAAGGAGTTGGCGCCAGACTCTCAGAACCCTGGCCCAGAAGTCGTCTCGGGCCAAATCCTTCTGGATTGTTCCTTTAGTCGGCTCACGACCACCTCGAGTGCGTCGTGGCACAGTCCAGAAACGGTCTTCTAGCCAGGTCAGCGAGTGAACGTCATGTGGGGCTTGCGGGGCAAGTCTGGCCATTTGTTCTAGTGTCAGGGCGTACCATGGAAGCTGTTGTGCAAAGAGTAGCCTCATCACCCATTGCACCATTATCGTTGTGACCTGTGTTTCCGGTTCAAGAATCCCCAGCCCCTCTTTGTTTTTGGGTTTGATCACCGAGGACCAAGCTACCCTACTAATAACATTCGTGAGATCACCATTGCCCCGCCATAGCACTGCTGTTACCTGACGCTTTAGAGATCGGATGGCTGTCTTCCTAAGAGCCCACATTGCCGATATGTACCAAAGGGCCGTCATCGCCACACTGTTACTCGCCAGCACCCTACCGAATAGGGAGGTGTGTTGGTCCTTCCTGCTGGCTAACTTTTCTAAAGCGGGTTTCAATATCCACTCATCGTCAATGTCGTCCTGCCTAGAGCTGTTAACATGATTCCAAGTACCATAATCGGGGCCTCTTCGGGGAGCCACTTAACCCGTGGAAGCTCCGAGGGGCGCACACCTTGATGGTGGATCCACCAACCCAAAGTTTTATTTCCCCAGTTAACAGTCATGTCTGAGATCGCTGTGAATCGATCAAATAATCTTTTGATCTCCTCCATGTTTGTTCTGGTGGCATCTACCATAATTGTCAAGTCATCTGCGAACAGCGAACAAATGGAGATTGGGTCGTCAGGGATGGCCGAGATTTGCAACTTCCGCAGGTTTTTGTTGGCGCGAAGGTTCGCTGCCAGTGCCTCCATCACAATTATGAAAAGGAAGGGTGCCATAGGGTCTCCTTGTCTGACTGGCCGTTGAAGCGGGAAGGCCGGCGCCACCCTGCCATTGACTTGGACACTCGTAGTGGCGTTATGATGCAAAATTTCAGTCCAACGCCGAAAAGTCGGTCCAATGTTCATTTTCGCCATGCATCTATCTAGAAATTGCCAACCTACATGATCGTAGGTTTTTTCGAAATCGATGAAGACCATCATCGCCGCGTTCTGTTTATCCTGTCTTGTGAGTTTGAGGAGTTCATTGACTAATAGGATATTGTCGTGGATCCTACGCCCTTAGACGAATCCAGTCTATGTGGGGTGAATGATGTCGTCCAAGACTGGAATCAGGCGATTTGTCAGGGCTTTCGCTAACATCTTAGTTCAGTCCTTCCCGTCAAAAGCAGTTTCATTACGATGCTGCCAGACGACTGCAAAACCTATGGCTCGGAAAATCTGGGTCACGTAGCCCCAACCTTTCAATTTAGAGAGATTGGATGGGAGACCGACCAACAAGGTTCATTCTTTGGATAAGTCCATACTCGAATTTGAAACTTTGTTCCAATGCTTAATGATCCATTTTCAGAATCTGTCGGAGGCTGGGCAGTCCTACCATAGGTGGATGAAGGATTCGAACGCCCATTGGCATCTGGGACATTTGAGATCAATTCTCATTCCCCGTTCAGCAAGCCACACTGTGGAAGGGGTCTAAACCAGGGACACTAGCCATAACAGAGAAGCATGCCTTTGGTTTGGGATTTGTGGTAACTGAGCCTTGCAAGAGATTAATGCTGAGTCAAGATCGATCTCACTTCTTTGCAGGAGTTGGGCCCATCGTGCCCGCGCTACCACTATGGGTTGTTTCAATGGTTTATTAATGGCATACCCAATTTTAAACCACCAGTACCTACCGGTTGACCCTATTCCTGAACAACCCGAACCCCAGCCTATTGGTATTCCGAAGCTTGTCGAGCTTCGAGCTACCGGTAGGTACAAAAAAAAAAAAAAAAAAAAAAAAAAAAAAAAAAAAAAAACAACCTTCTTCTATTAAAAAAAAAAAAAAAAAAAAAAGAAAACCAAGGCCCCTGGCTCCTCTCAACGTGACATTTGCAAAACGCGAGTAGAGAGTCTCGACGAGTGGTGTGGGGTGCTCCGTGCAGCCCGCCGAGTCTCTGGGCGTCGCTCCACGACTATCGAGGCGCACAGAAGACAAATTCATGACGGTGTATATTTTCATGTTCTAAGGGTACATTCACTCTCGTTTTGCACATCTCTCTCTCTCTCTCTCTCTCTCTCTCTCTCTCTCTCTCTCTCTCTCTCTCTCTCTCTCTCTCTTTCCCTTTTTCTTCCCACCCCCTACCGCCGCGTCAGTTTATTTCTCGTCTTTTTCATTTTCGTTTATGATTCACACTTTCTGCTGATATTTTGTTTTTTTTTGTGTTTTTTTCTCTTTTCTTTTGTTTCGTAGTAATCGTTCGTACCGGTCGTTCATTGCCCCGACCCCGGGCTGACGCGGCACGTTAACTGCCGCATCGTAGAAAAATAGTTGGGTGAGGTACTGATGGTTTAATCGTATATTCAGCTAATGTGGCATTTGAACCTCTGGGGCCGGTGATGGTCCATTCCCAGAGGGCAGGGTCCAGTTTCAGCTGTTGGACTGGCTTAACTTGATTGAATAACTGACAGGACACTGAACCATCAGGCTCCCAATATTCATACACTCTGATCTGTTGTAAGATCCTGCCCACCGGGGGTGGAGGATTTTCCTCTTCCTCTTCTACAGGATTTTTTTTTTCTTTGAGTTGTGCAACCCTCCTTTTTAAGAGTTAAAAAAAAAAAAAAGATTGTTGAAATACCCCTAAAAGTTGGGGTATTTGGGTCTCGTTAGACACTCCTAAAGGATTCCTAAATTCTTTAGGACGAGTCATAAAAGAGTTTTAGGATTTGTTGTGGCGTTGTTGCACGCAATCCTAAAAAAATTCTTTTAGGAACCGTCCTAACGGGTCTCCCGCGACCAGTTCTCATATACCTATACGGAGCCACGCCGTCGATGTCTGCCATTTGCAGCCTGGTGTCCATGGTACAAACGGCGGTGGGCCCTGGCCGGTTGAGGACGGGGAGGTGAGAAGCGCACGGCTGAAGACATTTGAAAATTCGAATTCAAATTTTCGCGGACGCATGGAGGCGGGCTGGGGGACGAGCGGGGGACGCGTACGACGTACAAATGACGGCGGTGGTGATCCCCTTGCCGTGGAGAGCCATCTTTCGCGTCTGCGCGAGTCGTGAGCGGCGTGCGAAGTGTCGTGTGGCAGGGAAGAGCATCGGGCTCATCTTCGGTGGCGCTGGCAGGCGTTACCCGTGAGAGGCGAACGGGCGACGAAGATGGACGTTCGCGGCGATGGACATGGGTTGTGTGAAGAAGAGAGGAAGGCGGTGGCGATGGAGGTGACTGCCGTAGTCCTCAACACGGTGAGTGACATGTCGTCCACAGACCATGACATGCATTTGCAGTTGCGGAAACGTAGAGCATTGTTGCAACGCGTCGTCGAAGCGTCGGATTGTGTGGCGATGTCTGAAGCGGTCGTGCAGTTGTGCTTGGCGCTCTCCTCCGGCGTTTTCCGGCGCCATACGCCGCGATGGTGGATAAAGCGAAGGACTGGCGGAACTTGGGAGGATCTTTGGCTGTGTGATGATGTGACTGACGACTATTTCCGCAACAAGTTGCGTATGTCCAGGGCTATCTTCATGCATATCGTTGCTGCATGCACCGGGCACGTTGAGAAGAAGGTGACACATTACATTAGCAGTGGTCCTGTGGATCAGGTCATTGCTTTCTCGTTGTACAGGTGGGCATCTAGGGAGACATATGAGAGCGGCACGTCGGCCTTCGGCATCGGGAGGGCCACTGGACTGCAAGTTGTCCGCGATGTAACTTCGGTGTTGTTGAAGGCGTACCCCGACTCGATCAATTGGCCTGTGGGGACCTGTTGCAGGATGCACTTCGAGGCCGGCTGGCTTTGATGTAGGAGCGTGCAGAGGGATGGGGGGGGTAGGAAGGGGGGGAGGTTGATATGAAGAATATGGAGGCCCCACGTTCGCTATGGCGGGAAGCAGAGTAAGGATGATGAAAGAGGGGCGGGGGGGGATTGGGATGGCAGGTTGGAGTGTGTCCTGGTGCATCAAGAGTGGACTTCGCTTTGTTTTGTGCTTTCTCGTGTTCTCGGATCGCCAGCGGTGTGTAGGTTATCGTCCAGCAGTCCGTGATCGACGACGACAAGTGTCCGTGTGTCATGTGTCGTCATTCGTTTTTTTAATTCACATTGGTTTGTGTTGCACCTCCTGGGGGTGTGCGGTCTTTTACCGGCGATCGGGTGGCATGTAGTTGTTGTTTGGAGTAGATGGTTGCGATAACTTGCGAACCTTGGATGGCGCAGCCTTTGGTTTCTATAAGTTCGGACTCGATGATTAACTTGAAGTGGTGGAATGGATTGCAATGGTTCGTTGTCTCTCGTCAATCGTTTAGCCGTCTGTGGAGGTGGATGATGTGGTTCTCTTTGAATGTACTTCAACGCAAAGGTTCATTTATTTCGTCGTTGCCCTTTGTCATGTTCAATTTAAAAATATTGGCATGCATTTTTATGATATGATGTATCCCAATTTCATGGCGCTTGTTGTGTTGATTTCGTCACATATTCCATTTCCACAAAACCATAAAAAAAAACACCCCCGCTTTCCACCCCCGGCCCCACTGCCTGCATTTTGATCAGAGTCCCTAGCCGAAGAGCGGTCGTCAGGGCAGCCATCACCGCCAACTTCACTCCCGATAGACTCCCCAGCTCCCAATCCTCGCCTCAGCAACCGCACCCCTTCCGGACTACCAGTGTCGGCGACGTTGGGAGGAAAAATAGTGTGGTTGCCCAGCATGCTCGGATGGATCTCGTTGTACAGCACCCTCTCCATCCGGAACTTGAAATTGTTCTCCTTCCGTTCTTCGTTCGTCAGCCTTAAGAAATTTGCCTTGCCGCTCTTCCCTTGAAATCTCTGTATCTTCTTGTAGTTTTGAAAGAGATTGTCCCACGTCTTGGAACAATCGTCGGCTTCTTTTACCGTCCCCATGGCGGCCATCTGTTTTGCTATGTCGTCCCACTTCCACTCCTTTGTTCGCATTCCCGGCCATGTGCATGTCTTGCTCCCGCTTTTGCGGCTTGCATCTGACGAGGACCAATTGCTCGTCCATCGACCAATACGTCGCTGACTTCCCACTGTCCTCGGATGCGTCTCCTCTGCCGACCCGACCAGCAGATCGACCACGACCACCGCCTCTGCCACATCCTTTCACCCTCCCTGCCGTCTTTCCCAACGGCTGAATATCCACGTCGTCTTCATCATCCCCTGTTTCCATCTCCTCTGTGCCTCCATCGTCGGCGTCATCGAGGCATGCCACATCGCCAACGCCTCCATCGTTGTGCGCCCTCATGTTGGAGACTCCTCGAATGATGCTGTCCATGGTAGGTCGTGGACACACCGGTGGTCTGCAAACGGTGTTGTCCCTGAAGTCGGGCTGCGTAGTTCTTGTGCGGTTTGACATCGGCAAACTACCACCACCGATGCGCAGGGGCACTGTTGTGACTCCTGCAGGGGCGGGGCAGGCGTCTCTACCACCTTGGTCAGACGTCGCACTCTTGCCATGCTGCCTGTGTGAAGGTGACGCACCGACACCAGCATTAATGGACACAGCGCCTGGAAGTGTAGATTGCTCGGTGTGCGCACTTCAAGGACGTTGAAGGGTACGCGGCGAAGGTTTGGGGTTGTTGATGAACGTACGGGTCGCTGTCGTCGCACCGCCGGGTGACAAGCCGAACCTCATATCGACTTGCCCGTCGTCGTCTTGCAAGCCTTGTTGCAGGAGGGACGTGAACTCGCCACCTTCGTTGCAACCGGACCCGCCAGTTGCCAGCGTCTGCGACCACATCTGCGTCGACCCGCTACCCAAAGGTAACGTTGTGAGTTCCTCCGTCTCCAGTTCCTCGTCCGACGGGGGCAGCGGCTGCTCATGTAGTTCTAGATGGTTGTACAACAATGGATCGTAGCACCGTCGAGGGATCGCCATGCTAGATCCTCCTCCGCCCTGACGTGCCGCTGGTTCTCTGCCTACGTGGAAGTTCGCCATTGGTAGTTTTACGGAAGCCCGTTTCGTGGACGCACGTCGTTTGCGATGTTGCTTCGACGGGCGGAACACCAAACACACGTGGAGGAAGATGACAATCAAGAAGACGACGACAGCAAGTAGCAGGAGAGGCAACTTCCGATACACGCCTGCCATGAATATCGCCTTCGGATGCAACGTTTCAGACAACCACTTCACAAGACGGCCTCCGACATGCCCACAAATTGGACTGCAGTACCTTCATATATCGTCGTATGCACAAGACGACACAGGCGACTGCCACCGGTTCAAATTTCGACCATTGGGGCCCCTTCACTACCCTCAGGTCGTTGGTATTTCGTGCTGCGTGAGTCGTCGCCCTCCTCCACGTTTCGCATTGAAGCCAACAATCGACTACGGACGACAGGGCACCCCCGCTCGCCCGCCACGGTCCAGCCCGCCCGCCAACGGCTACCGGTGGTGGTCGTTGCCTCCGTCGGCCAGCCGAAGGCCTTCGATGTCCGACTCCTGGTCCGACGGATGACTTCTGCACCACGGAGTCCGAGACGACGGTGTCATGCGCGAGATGCCACGACTCCGTCAACCTCGGCTTCCTAAAAATTTCAGTAGGTCGGGGGCAAGTAAAAAATTTAGGAAAATTTGCTTGGGGAATCCTAAATTCTTTAGGACGAGTCCTAACGCCGTTTTCACATTTTTTATCTCAAAATCGGATTTACGAATGCGTGCAACCACGATGCAATCCTAAAAACAGGCATTTTTAGGAGTGTCTAACGAGACCCTTTCATCAGATACCCCTAAAAGGCATGAATATGGCGAAAAACCCCTATGACAATCATGAAACTTTGTGAAATACCCCACTCGGCAATTGGACCCGTCATTTTTTGCATATACCCTTGCCAGGCCTTCGACAACTTGTCTATATGCCCATGTATTTTTGTCCTTCAGACCCTGCAGATGGCAAAAGAAATGCACAGGCCTGATGAGCGAATTGTGAGCCTAGCCAAATGAGCAAATTGTGAGCCTGGCCCAATGAGTGAAAGCAATGGGGCAAAGGGCACGCACGCAAAAAAGAAAAAAGAAAAAAAAAAAAAAAAGAAGAGGTGTTGTTAGACACTCCTTACGAGTTCCTTGAGCCATAAGGATTTTTCCGCTCGTAAGAGAATTTTGCGCGGCGTTCCACACATCCTTAGGAACGTCCCCTAAGCACGTTTCCTTGTGGCCTGCCCGCGGCCATTTTCATACAAAAATACGTGGCCGCGGGCGGGGGTGTCCGTGGTCCAGCGTCCAGTGTCCTTGTGGAGACAGCGTGGTCCAATGACGTTTGGAGGGAAAGGGCATGAGGCAGGCCACAAAAAATAAAATAAAAAAGGGGGACCTCTACGTTTGAAATTCAAAATTTGACGTACGGTTGTGGTGACCCGACGACATTTGGGTGGAATCGGCCTTAGCGGTGGTGTCCCTTCTGCCCACCTCTCAGTCAGTGTACATGCGTGCACTGGGTGCATCCATAGTCGTCGAGCTTCTCCTCCACGTCGTCCGCACTGTCGCACGCAATTTCTCCAGGGGGACGACATTCACAGAAAGGCAGCACCTTCTTGGACATCTCCTCGAGGGGTGAGCGGGTTTTTGTCTTTGCGGTGCGATGATCGAGATGGCAGCAGAGAGACGGCATCCATGTGGAGGTGGTGGCAATGAAGGGCGGCGGAGAGGGCGGACGTGCACTGTTGACACCGCTTGAGCGGGCAGCAATGGAGGCAGTCGTGTCAACCGTTGTTCTTCATTGTCGGCAGGAGGGCGCTGAGACGAATGAAGGAGCAGTTGAGCACGAGTAAAAGAAGGACGCTGATGCAAGCTGCGGATGACGGCCTCGACTACGTGGCAACTTCGGAGGTTGTCATCGAGTTGTGCTACACATTTGGTTGCGGCGTCATTCCATGAGCGACACTGAGGTGGTGGATCAAATGCAAGACAGGGGAGACATGGGAAGACCTTCGACAATGCGACGATGCCACGGATGACTACTTCAATGAGAAGCAGCACAACGTCGAGGAGCAGCAGAGGGAGACTGCAAAACAGGTCGGCCATGAACTGCACGGTGGAGAGGGCGGCAATGCCACGTCTATTGTTGGACATCTAGCACACGACGGTAAAGAAGGCAAGAGTCTTGTCCGACGTGCAACACGTGACGACACGCATGGGAATGCGATGCTCGTGCAGGAACCTCTTCTATGGACAAACTGATGGTGCCGTTGAGGAAAAATATTTTCCTGACCCGGCTGACCATTGCGAACGTTCCTCAAGAGCAGGAGACCACATGATGCCAGTCGAAAACAACGACGCCACCCGGTGGAGGCCCACCGCCAATAGTAGCCGTTGGGGGACTACACAGACGTTGGAGGGCGCGGATGTTCGTGTTAACGTCGTTGGACCACATCTCGACAACCAAAGAACAGAAACACTCCATTGACGCATGTTTCCGCCACTCCGTGAATCACGAATCTTGGAGCTCCAGGGGACTTGGACCTCACGAGGTTCCTTGGGGATAAGGAAATTTTGGTTGCGGCCACAAGGACACTACAAGGAATTTTCCTTGTGGCATTTTCACATTTCGTTTTCAATTTCGTCCCCAAGGACAGGTGGAACGAGCGCGTCCTTATGGATTTCACGTCCCCGAGAAGTGTCTAACAACGCCCAGAGAGAGAGTGGTCCGGGGGGGGGGGGCTACCAGAGAGAGAGAGAGAGAGAGAGAGAGAGAGAGAGAGAGAGAGGTTGAATGGCAAAAATGGAAAATGGGTCAAATTGCCGCCTCGGTCTATTTTGCGCTTGAAATGTTTTGTTTTTTTAATTTATTTAATATTTTTCCTGGAAAGATCACAATAAAATTTGCGAGCATTCCAATTTCCAGATTTTCCATGTATTCTTCTGAGCGCGAAAAATCATTGAAGTTGGCATACTTCTTCTGTTGGACCACATATGGCTGAGTGGCAAAAATGAAAAATGCACGGAATTGGCACGGTGATTATATTAATATATTGCGGTCGTAATTATTTTTTTATTTTTCTTTAGATTTTTCCTCAAAAGACCAGGACCTAATCTACGGATTCTCAAATTTTCAGGTCTCTCTGCGAATTCTTTTGAGCACAAAAAATCGCTAAAAATATCTCTTGCAAACCAGTAGGAGTGGGAATTACACGTAAAACTGGTCCCTTGAAAGTTGAAATGCTTACCTACCAGTAGAGACTAGTACCTTCGAGCTTGTTTTTGTCGAGCCTGAATTTCACTGCGCTTCAAGTTTTGCCGAGCTTGGGTCCCACGCTATTTTCTTTTCGCTTACTCTCACGGGAAAAAAACAAAAAAAGTCATGGTCGTGAAACTCACAAAAGAAGGGGGAGAAAGAAGGGAACAAATCTTTGGCCGTGAAATGCAATTATTGTATATTCTTGGATGTGGTGGTGCGAGTGTGCCCTCAGTGAGGGGGTCTCAGACCCGTAACAGGTTATGAGATTTAAGAAAGAAAAAGAAGAAAAAAAAAGGAAGCACAGATTCGGCCATGAAACTGACTAGATACATTCCTCTAAGTGTCAGTGTGATCGCGATTCCAATCCTATAAGGAAACACAACTTGAGCAGATCACGGATTCCGCCCTGCCTCGCTGGCAGGGGACTCGTAGGAGTGAGAAAATAAAGAAAAAATAAAAACAACATCCACAATCTTACCATTTTAGTTGTAGCCTGTAGGTAGGCGCGGCGCGACCAGGAGCGCCACGCCACTCCGCTATCGACATGAGCCGGTTCGTGAGTTAGGGGCGTCTCGTTGGCGCGAGGTTCCGTCGGTGTTTGTTTGGCGCGGCTATCAACGTGATGCTTCAGCTGAGGGTTCTTCCAGCCTTGATAACCTAGGTTGAAGAGGTCTCTTGCTCCGTGCTTCGTTTATGTGGTGTTGCGGGTTGACAAGCTAGAGGAAGGGGAGGCCGTTGTGGTGACTACTAGGATAGTCTTCATGAGATCTTGGGCATGGTAGTGGCCTTGCTCCTTTGCCCCTGCGCGAATCTAGTTGAGGTTGGTTGGGCAGCGCGGGCAGAAAGTAAGGAGCGTCTTCTCATGCGGAGTGGGAGGAGGGAGGCTTGTTATAAGCTGGAGCGTCATAAAGAGCTGGTGGTTTCAGGCGTTCATTTTAGCTGGTTCATCGGTTAAAGACACAGAAGCAGGTAGCAGTGCAATAATGATAGAGGCGATGGAGCAGGAGAATTTTGTGCGAACATGTGTGGTGCTGCTTCGCTCTTTGCTTCGCCTACCTTTTTAAATTGTTTTCGCTGATTGTAACTTTGCATCTTCTAATTGCCTATATTCTTGCTCTAATCTAGTGCTTATGCGGTTATAAATTCTCTTAATTCTTATCTTATATTTTCTGATCAGCTAGATTCTCATCGACATACACGCACATACATACGTGCACGTGGTGGGAGCTGCCAAACGCTGACTGGCGCAGGGGCAGGGGACTATATGTCACAACCTTACTGCTGCCCTGCGCTGTCTTCAGCAGGCTTTTCTTTTTTTTTTTTTTTTAACCAGACCAACATCACTAGTTTCTTCAGCAGGTTGTTCTTAAAGATGTAGGGTGTTTTGAGAGGTTATTGCACAATTTTGAAGACTCTGAGGCCCTGCTTTTCCAAATTGCGATTTGCATGAAGTGATTCGACATTCTGGTAAGTGTGTCATTAATAACTGTAGTCGGCTGGAATCGGATCGTTCCTTGAGGGTTGAACAGTAAAAAGGGGGAGGGGGGAGCTCTATCTTGCAGGGGCATCACAAGGTGGGGGGTGAATGTCTCAAAGAGGGTAGGGGCAGAGTAGGGGGTTGCCCTATTCTGGGGCAGGGGCCAGCGTGTGGGTCAACATCAGTCCCAGCGGAGGCAGAAATGGGCAAGGGGCGGGGGGGCATGCTTTAGGTGGGGATGGTGTGCCCCTGGGGAAAGGGGGGCAGAGAGTTGGTCCTATATTGGGGTCAAGGGAGTGCGGGAGGCTCGCCTCGGCGGAGGCAGTGTAGGGCTGAGGGAGGGGGGGGAGGGGGAGGGAGGGATGATCTCTCTCGAAGAATCCTAACATCCAGCTTAGTATTCTCTTCCATTTGGTTTGCCTATCCAGGAGGTTTAGGAATAGGTGCTATCTGGTTATTCATCTATGAAACTCCGACGGGTGGTCCAAATTCGGTGGCCCTCGAAGACCAATGCTAAGAGCAACGCTGGCCGGAGTCGGAGCCAGGTGGCGCAACTCTGTGACCTAGCTTAGGAGGGGCCTGAGGCCTGGTAGAGAGATCTGGGGGGCTGTTTGCGGGGGCAGTCTCAGTGGTCATCGAAGGTCGTAACTGGAGCAATGCTGGCCGGCGCTGGAGCAAGGCGGTGCAACTCTGTAACCTAGCCTGATGGGAGCATGAGGCCCGGAAGAGCTCTGGTTCGTGCTGAAAACAGCCATGCTGGTGGTAGTCGTAGGTGGATTGAATAGGTTTCAGGTATTCGATCCGTGGTTGGGAGGCCTTTTGACACATATTCTTTTTTTTTTTTTCTTTTTTTTTGACACATATTCTAGTGACGTGATAGTAGTGGACCATAAATGTGACCCCAGTAGTTCATCTCTTTGTATTATGATAAGGGACGCTGGGCCCAGTTCCCAGCCGTGTTACTCCCCACGAATAGATTGGAGCATCGTCTTTAAAAAAAAAAAAAAAAAAAAAAAGGTTCATTCTGTGGAGGACTACCCTCACCGACATCATTGCAGTAGAGAAAGTATCCTTTTTTTTTTGCCCGCTTACACGAGCGGGCTGTATAAAACTAAACTTATTCTTCTCGCTGAGCCTCTGGGATCTACAAACTTTCCAGGGAAAATGGGAAAACTGCCAGTTTTCGCTATTTCCCAACACTGGAGTAGGTACTACCTTATAAAATTCAAGGGGACTGGTAGGGGGATTTTCGGAAAAGGCCTTTGAACTACCGGTAGGTTTGAGTGCCACGACCATGGGAGAGGTCTGTGCCGTTCTTTTTTTGTTTTTTTTCTTCATGGGGCTGGGGTGGGGGGGGTTGTTGATGGCCCTTCCCCCGACACCCGGACAATGTTATGCCCCTGCCCCCCAAACAAGTGCTCTCTCTCTCTCTCTCTCTCTCTCTCTCTCTCTCTCTCTATATATATATACAGCCCCTCGTTTGTTGTCCTCTTCTCTCTCTCTGCCTACGGTTTACCGGGCAGTTCTGTTTGTGACGATATATATATATATATAT